TTTTAGGGGGAAAATTGTTATCTCGGGTACCAGGAAAGCTAGAAAGCTAGAATTTTGGGAAAATGTCTCCCTTCCAAGTACAACTCAAATATTTCAAAATCAGCCCTAAGCTATGCGTTGTACTCACGTGAGGGCGTACGAAAGTTTTAGGGAGAAAATTGCCAACTCGGGTACTAGGAAAGCTAGAAAGGTGAAATTTTGGGGGAATGTTCCACACCCAAGTACAACCCAAATATTTCAGAATCAGCCTCAAGCTATGCATTGTACTCACGTAAGGGCGTATGAAAGTTTCTGTAAGAAAATTGCTAACTTGAGTAGTAAGAAAGCTAGAAAGCTGAAATTTTGAGGGAATGTCTCTCACCCAAGTACAACTCAAATATTTCAAAATCAGCCCCAAGCTACGCATTGTACTCATGTAAGGGGTTGTGAAAGTTTCTGCAGAAAAATTACTAACTCGGCAATCAGAAGAGCTAGAAGGCTGAAATTTTAGGCGGATGCTCCCTGCTCACCTGTAATTTAAAAATTTCAAATTCAGCTTTTCAAGCACGTGAAGTATCCAAGTACAAGTATGTGAATTTAGCGGGAAAACTGTTAACTCAGTAACCAAAAAAGCTGGAAAGCTGAAATATTGAGGGAGTGTTCCCTGCTCAAGTACAACATAAGTATTTCAAATTCAGCCTTGAGGTATGTGTGGTTCTTGTGTACGAGCACTTAAAAGTCTAGTCGGAAAAATTTCGCACTGAACAACTAGGTTACTTTTAAACAACGACTGTTAAATGAAAATTGTACATTTACTTTGCAAAATTTATGCTGATTTATGCTAGTGACCGCAACAGGTAGGTGTAAAGCAACAGCCATTTCGTACAGTTAATGAGTGGAGTAATTCAAGTCCGGTGCAGAAACGCATGATCGCACGGGCCCGCCCGGTGCGTTCTAGCCTGGGTTTTGTTTCTCGAGTTAGCAATTCCCCACCAAAAATTTTCACAGACTTGTAAGTTGGAACCATACACACCTGGGCTCTGAGTTGGAGCCCATTAAGTTCTACGTGAATGGAGAACATCCCTTTAAAATTTCAGCTTTTCAGTTTCCTAAGCTAGCAACTTACTCGCAAAAAACTTTCATGGGCTACATGGGAACCACGTAGGTAAGAGAGCCCATGTTGGGGGTGGGGACAGTATGTGCATGTAGATTAAGTTCCTGAAGTTTCAGCCTTATAGCTTTTTAGGTCTCGGGATGAAAAATCGGCACAAGCGAACAAACAGACACGCATACACAGATAATCACCGACAATATGCGTTTTTGCACTACATAAATGCACGAATAAACCCAGGCTGAAAAGCACCGGCCAGGCCCGTGCGTTCATGCGTTTTTGCACAGGACTTGAAGTACTCAGGTCATTAACTGCATGAATTGTTGTTGCTTTACAACTACA